ACATATTGTGTCCCGGTTGTGTACACTGGAAAAATGTTCTAGAAGTAAGTAAAAATGTCTTAAATGAAGTGTATTTACACTTAATTTGAGTAGGTAAGTGAGATAGTTTGCCAATGGAATGAGTATTTTTACTCTTAGAATAAGATAATTAGATAATATGCACTTAAAAGAAGACAATGCAATGGTGTTTTCTTATTTTAAGTGTAAATTGTCTTGTTCCATTGCCAAAATGTCTTTTACCTCCTCAATCCAAGAACAGATGCACTTATTAAAAAAAAAAATTACTTATCTAGATTAATTTTTTTTCCAGTGTATAAGCATACTTTCTTTTCCAAAAATGCTACTTTTTTAGTTTTACAGAAAGGTTGGATATTTTCCCTCTTAATTAATGGTATATGTGCTCCTTAGAGGCATTTAACTCTTAACACAAACCCTTCTACTGTATAAGGATGTGCTGCAGGACTGATGTTGCTGTTTGTGTCCGTTTCTCCAGAGGTGGACATCGCCAAATCTGAGGAGGCCGTCAGACACACAGAGGAGGAAGAAACTGGTCCAGCAGAGGGAGCGGACTCCTCCACAGTACGTTGAGAATCTGTTCTGAGCTTTGCTGTAGCTGTCCATCTGATGAGAAAGCATCTGAGATGAATGGATGGGTGTCAAAGCTTTAGAAGTGTCTGTTGGCATTAGACAGCAGGATAAAGGTTGAGTAAATATGATGCAGAAGGAGAAAAATCATTAAAAAAACACTTAAAGTATCATTAATAATAGAGACTGACTGATATATTTTTCTTGAAAGAAAAAAAAGCATTATTTTAACATCAGTCTTACTGACTACCAGTTGATACTGCTGATGTTTTTTGTTGCTTTTTGAAGCCGCCGTTGCTTTTTCTCATTTTACATAAAAAGGACAAAATGTTTGAATTGTTGCACAGGCCTCAGTTTGAACATAAAGAAACATTAACTCATCAAACAAAACATCAGTGGATAGCATATGGAGGGAGCAGCTATGCATGCGCTTCATTTGACTCAACACATTCATGTATAGTATAAAGATGAGGATATAAAAATAAATGAACAATTCTAATATTCCCCAAAGTATTGACCAGACAATGTATTGGTCTACCTCTTATTTTGATTTTAGCTTATATGAGAGTTTGTTTTAGTATTTGTTGCTGTAAGTAGTGTTGCAACGATACCGATACCAGTATCGGTTAGTACCATCAAATAGGGCACCAATATCGTTTTAGAGCCAAAGGTTTATTCAACTATTGTCACCCATTCCAGGTAGGCAATAAACAGTTCTACTGGATTCACTTTAGGGTTGTCAAAAGTATCGATACTGAAACGTTGTATCCGGATACAA